AAACTTCTTAAATCTAATATATTTTTTGAGCAGTCTTTCTCTTTGTGCTCTTCAGTGTCTGATAACACTTCTGTTTGATTTCAGTATTTGGAAGAGAAGACTATCAGTTATACACCAAAATACAGGAAGAAAGGCAAGAGTAGTGGTGTACGCCGCGAGAATCGTAAACAAGGTGTTAAAAATAATATCATTAGAGATGATATCAGAGATCAGTTGAAAGAAAAACGACAGGAAAAACGTGACAAGAAATTAGCCAATCAGAGAGGAGTGAAGTCTGTTCTCGATAGATTTAAACGGACTGTAGAGTGATGGGATTTATAAATTACGTGTAGTGTATTTACATCATATGGACCAGTTTCTTTGAATTTAAAAAAAGTTTATGTCAAGATGTTCTGAATTATTGAAATTGGCAGATTCTGATGGTATAGATATGTTGTGTTCTGTACATATTAACAGAGACCAATTTCTTTAACAAGAAATATTGAAATCTGATTGCAAAATAAATTAAGTCAATTTTAATGCTTGATCAAACAAACGACAAAAAGTAATAAAGGAAAAATGTATTACATTTAAAATATAAGATGTCTGTATATTTGTTAAATGTTTTATAATAGAATTGAATATTATCTTGTACATGTACCTTGTTTATAAACTGAAGTATATCACAAAGTTTCAGACAAGTTATGAATTGCTTTATGGATTTTTTTCGATCTAGATATGCAGACTAGGTAGTGGAGATGAAGTCTTTGCTATATATAGGGCTAATAAGAACAGGCAATGTCACTGCCTGTATCCATTTGGTCCCGTGAGGACTACTTCATGCCCTTTCAGCCCCTCCCACCTGCATCAGACAAGGGTAAAATTATCTTCATGTTAGTCTTATTATGTGCACAGTAAAAACGCCTCCATTATGAGTTTTCTCCAAGTCTTGTATAAACAATATATTTGGGGTCTGCATGAAGGGTGGGGGTAATTTGGAAAAAGAGGTTAGGGTAATTTTACTATGATCTCAGAATGTCCCTCAAATCATGCTGCATTAGCCCAATCAGGTGATCTTAATGCCATATCATTAAGACACTAAATGGTATTTTTTGCTTTTATTTTTTTTTAATTTACTTCTTCTTGGCCACACCAACTGTTCTACCACGTCGTCCGGTAGTCTTGGTTCTTTGACCTCTTACTCTCAGACTGAAATATAATACAATACAATTTGATCAACATAAAAAAAGACAAAAATATGATCGGATTCTCAACACAAGAGACAACTTTTTTGAAACACTGGCATCAAGATTGAGGATTTTAACCATCTATACCTTATTGCCCTGTCGACAATCTAACTCACTGCCAACTGAGCTATTCCATTTGAGCACTGATGTGGATATGTAAATACATAAATGAACTCAATTCAGATTCAGACTGCTACTAATATGCATTAGGATTTGTACTGTGTATATCAAAAGAAAAGATAGTCTGTATCAAATTACAACTGTCAAGGGATTGCTTAAAGGGATTGTGAAGAGGTTTCATAAAACACGTTAGTTTCAGTGGAATTGCAAGAGCCACAGACGTCGGAATGATAATTTGAAGGTGCAAATTGATGCTATCGGAGTACCCGATACACATCAAAAGTTTAGAAAACCTTTTTACAATCCCTTTAACTGCACAAACATCTTCACAATGTCAAGCTGGTGCCATTACCTTGACTACAATAGCCACTATTCTTTTATCACGGAAGTTTGTTAATACAGCGAATTGATCACATGCTACACTCTACCAATCAAAGCATGTAATTAAGGGCTAGTTATTGGCTGTATTCAGTAGCAAAAAACCCAATCAAATTGCTGCAAATGCAAGCTTATGTGATAAAGATGGCAATTGCTGTCAAGGTATAAGACACCATTTGTTATGGCTGAATGCACAACATCTTCATAACCCTTATTCCACTTACCCCCAGTAATGACGTAGACCTCTGTGGGCTCGGATTTTCTTCAGTCTTTCTAAATCTTCTCGAAGTTTGTTATCTAAACCGTTAGACAAGATCTGGGAGAATTTACCGTCTTTAATATCTCTCTGTCTGTTTAAAAACCAGTCTGGTATTTTATATTGACGAGGGTTATTCATCACAG